CTCATTTGTCTTGTGATGGAAATGTTGGACCTGGCCTGATGGATGCATGCCTACAGTGCGACAAGGCCCGCCAGCCCGGTATGCCCTCGTGAAGCTCACCTGGGCAAGGACAAGCCTCCAGCCGCGACCTTGTTCCGGCTCGGCCATACAGGCTTGACACTTCCGCCAACCTTCTCGAAGGTCGTGATCAGCTGCGAGAGAGTCGCATGCTACGGTTGAATAGATTAACCAGCCACTAACCCCTTACTCTAAGCTCACGACTCCAGCGACCGAGAACGTGGGTCTGACAAGCTCATTTTCAGGGTCTCCCCATAATGATTGGGGCCAGCCTGGGGAAGACAGCAGAGGACGCGGAGCCGAGGTGATGAGGCGTGGTTGGCGGAAAGATGGAGCCGGATTTCCCCAGCCTGCTAACTCGATGATGCCCCGAACACGTGATGGATGGGAGGCACGGGCTAGCGCCGAACGGCAGAACGCTCCTTCGTTCATGGCCAATCCAGCTCAATAATACACTCCGCGGAAACTCCACATCTGCAATGCGATATCCCGCTTTTCTTCTTGCACCGTCAGCGCCTCGAGCCGTTCCCCAGAGGTTTCCCCAGACAGCTTCCCCAGAGATCAACGACAGCTAACGCGCTCCGAGGAGACCTCATGCGATACATTGCAACTGCTTCACCGGGCTCATTTAACACATCCTACCATCGTCTTATTTGATAGTACACGCTGTAAGCAGCACAATCCCTGATTAGCGTCCTGTCAACGTGATTCGGCCACCGTATAACGGGCGGTCTCGCTTACGCCTGGGCGATGCCTGGGCCAAGCCGCCAACGGGTGGCTGGCTCTTCTTTGAATGCCAATCTTCCAACACTCTTGATCAGCCGAAGACGCCATAAGGTAGATGAGATCTAAGCATCCCGCTGCCCAGCCTGCACCGGCTGAATCACAGCAATTATTGAATGTGTTGCCTGCAGCTTCCCACGGCCCTGAACGCCTTCAGCTCCTTCGCTGGATGCTCTGGCCGCTGTGCCCTTCCTTTGGAACCCACAAGAAAGGGCCTGCATGCGCGGCTGATGCGGCAATTGCTTCTCCAATGCTTGTTAGCAATCCCGAACGGGCTTTCAGCAGACTTGGCTACTCTTGCATGCCGTGCCCGCCCGCACCTAAGCAATCTTTGCCTGCGTTGGCATTCTGTCTTATCGAAAAGTCAAGTCTGACTGCATCAAAAGCAGCCATGTCCGATGCATCACCCAGCATGGTGGGTTTTTGTACATTGAGGGCGCCTAATGGTCGCGCAATCACATCGCTTTGTTCTGTGGGTTAATTAGCATCACGAGATGGGCAGGGTACTCTGTCGGATCACCCCAGACAATGTGCACGGAGTCAGCCCAAGTATCCACAACGCCCACCAACACCGAATCCTTTGAACCTCGCTTCCAGCCAGAAGAGCCACCAGAGCTTGGAATAGTCTACAGTAATCATGACTATGTGGTGTACCGATGCTGGTTTAGTGTACTCCGACTCCGATCATGCGCAGCCACTCAACGAGATCCCACGCTCGGACCGTCGTAGTTGTCGGGATCTCCAGCCGTTCTTTCCTCTACAGGGGCAGAAATCAATGAATGACCGTTCGAGGCGGCTGCGCGAGCACGAGATCTTTGAAGGTCTTAACCAAGGCCTCCACGGTCCCGTTGGCCGCCGTCGAACACCACAAGCGCCGCGCCACGAAACGACACAATTATCCTCAGAGCCTTGCCACTGGGGTATTAGGCTAAAAGGCTTCTCATCACGACTCGGTGGCTGCTCTAGTCGAGCCACTTGGTAGAATATCTCAAAAAAGCCAGTTGGGACGGTCAGTGCCGATTCAAGGTGTAATAGTTCATCGTATGTCGTAGTGATCGGACCCAGTCCTCCATTTCGTTGGTGCAGTGGTATGTGATCGCCGTCCATGGACGATTCGGTCCTCTGTCTCTTACTCATGTGTTTCTTCTAATTGACTTGAGAATAGACACGCGAGGAGACTGCCCATATCCTGAACACGATGCAAGAATAGCTTGTACCAAATGGCGACCAGTCTCCGATCTTTCACCGTATCCTTCCACGACGCGTGATATTTGACGATATCGCCACGACCTTTGTACAATGGTGTATGACATGTGCCGTCTGCAGATGTCCTGCGGCTTTGCTTTTTCGGCCAAGCAAGTATGCGCATCCTGCGACACATCGCAGTGGTGAGAGCGTACCGTGTTCTGCGTATCAGCTGACGCCATGTCTAGTTGTGTGTGCGCCGTTTGTATACCCGCCGAGCGTTGAGCGCGAATACGCCGGGATGCAGAGCACAGCACACCCCCATGTCTTGGATGCGCGCATCTCAATCAGATATGTCTCATGCTGACCGATAGCTCAGTAGTGATCTTGACAAGGAAATATGAGCTGCACTGTTCCGAGTAGGACCGCGTTCAATTCATTTCCAAATGCTGTGTCGACACCTATACGCCGGTAATCGGACCGAGAAGTAATATCATGGCCATATCCCGTTGTGTCAATTGACCGGTCTTCTGATCTCACGCACTCTCTCCGGCGAGTGGGTATTGTATTTGTTAACCCTTGGTATCAATGACACAAAACTGCGAACAAGGACTACAGTCTCGGGGACCCCGTCGAATCCACGCTTTTGGGTCAGACGCCACGTCCACGAATTACAGGTTATTCGCGCACGATAGGCCTTCTCAGCTATCTAAGACAGACACCAAAGCATCCGGGAAATCAGTCTTTTGCAGGACGACAAGTTGTTCTCAAGTCGAAGCAACGCGGCAAGAAGCAATGCCGAGAATAATGCTGCAAGCCACGACGGATGCTGATGAGGAGCGTCATTAGCCCAAACACTGTATTGGTTGGGTGCGCTTGCCAACTGTGCAACTACCATCCATTGCCTCTCCAGCTCGGTTTCCCCAATGACGAGTACAAGGCTGTATGCGTGCGCACTGTTTGTATGCGTTAATTTGCAGACAGGACAACAAGATGCTCACTAAGTCGCAACAGCTAATCATAGATTTCTAGTTGATGATACATACCGACGAACGAAGCGCTCATATCGCGAGACTTACGCACACCACAGACACGGACTACAACGAACTGCAGACACGGGACTGCTGGAAGAGTTGTACCCCACCACAACTGCGTCTTGATCGTATCGCGTCCGCCAGGCTGAGTGGTATGAACCGTCATCACTATGGTAGTTGTTGATGAGCTGGGACCGTTGGAAGCGATGAAACCCCTCGTTGAACGTCAGGCCTTGTGCGTATGGGCTCCAATCGAAGAGGCTACCGTGTTGCGCGTGATGGCTATGCAGGCAACGAGTGCAGGTATCGTTGAAAATGAGACAGAATCTGGACCTAGTGCCGGGCTTGCGCTCTGTCGACATGTACGGAATGGGAAACTTTCCATGGTTGACAGAGGCGTAGGGCAGGCGATGCATGCGGCATCTACCTAGGCACTCAATAACGAGGAAATTGTTTGCCCACCTCGTAGCTTGCCAGCAGTGTGAGGCATTGCTAAACATCATATTTATAGGTATGTATGGCCTCCGTTAGCTTTTTGGCTATCCAGAGACGTGAAGATGTTCTTTCATCGTCTTGGTCAGCTAAAGTGGGTCCATTCGCGTTCCGTGGAGCGGCCGCCGCAGTTCGCGTGCAGGCGCCGTCATCCTCCGCATTGCATAGCCACACTCGCCCAGGACGTTACGACCACGATCAGCAAAATGTGGAGCAGTAGCGGTTTGATACGAGGAAAGAAGTCTTGGGGCCGCGTCTGAATTCTTGGGTGTGCCACCGAAGATGCGCAGTTGATGTCCTTCCTACACCATCCAACTTAGCAACAAAACACTTCGGTCCGTATCTACTCCACGTTCGCTTTTCGCACACACGTTCGCTACCACTAGACATCGCATCATCTGTCGGATCATGTTTGCGAAAACAGGCCTTCTTCTACTGACTGCAGCGGCGGGAGTGGTGAGAGGCGACTTCATGGTCTACACAGAACCGCCAATTCCCACGTCCGCCATTCCAACCTTCGCCAATCCATCCGATGTACGTTGAGCGCGAACCTGGGAGTCTACCGCTGTGCTGACAACTACGCAGGCCCAGAGCTGGACCACCTCCGTCTTCCTCAACGCGCAAATAGCGTACGGTCGCTTCACGGAATCCCTCGGCGAGCCCTACCAGTCCTCTCTCACGTCCGCGCGCTCCGAAATCGACGCCTTCGTTCGCACCGCCTCGAATTACAGCATTCCGGCTGAAGTCACCATGGCCGATGAGACCCCCACATACTTCTCCAAGCCAGATTGGTATACAGCCCTGCCGAGTGCGGCGAGGTCGTTCAAGGAACAACAGGTCAGCGATCAGTTCAGCATCGTGAGGAACGTTATTGCCGCGAGGGCTACCTCTACAACCGGCTCCGAGGGAGCCGCGATGCCGACTGCACTTGCTGGACAGTGGCTGGGGGCTGAGTTCGGCGTTATGGCTGCGGCGGCTGCGGCTGCCTTCTTGTGAAGAATACAAGAATTGCACCATGGGTAGATCGCATTTACACGAATAGAGTTCTAGACTGCAATTGTACCCAGGAGGTACGCGTCAAGACTATGGATCATGCTATACAATGGATATATGGCGCGAAGAATGCCAATAAACGCACCTGTGCTCCCAAGGTGCAGTCAATCTGGAGTCCACCTACCATGTAATGCATTGATCAGCGTAAGCAAACCAGAGATGTGATATGCTAGCACATCAAGCCAAGTTGATGTACGCCCATCAAATCCTCCGCGAAAAGCACACCAATCACGCACGTCGCTATACGCAGATGACCCACTCCTGACTACGCATTCTTGGCGACAATGGCATGCCAATCTAAGGGAGACAGTCTATAAGAGGGCATACAGAAGATACAAGGAGACGTGAAGTAGCCAGACTTACTCTGGCAACAAAGAGTCCATCCGTCTTTCCACAATGTCGACTTCCGAGCCAACCCACACACCACAACTCCGTCCTTTCTCAGTCCACGTCCATCCCATTCCTCCGACCGAACTAAAGACATGTGCATACGAGCGCCGCCATTCCAACTCTGCCAAGTGCAAGAACGCCTTGGTCTTCATTGGTGGGCTGGGCACTGGTCCGCATACAACCCCCTACCTAGGACCTTTGAATGACGCCTTGGAACACGCGAGTTTGAAAGATGGAAACGGCGTGCACTATAGTATCTGGGAGCTAAGAATGCGGAGTAGTTATACAGGTTTCGGATATGGAAGCTTGAAGGAGGATGCGGAAGACTTGAAGGAGTTGGTGGAGTATCTGAAAGAGATTGGGAGGGAAAAGGTTGTGTTGATTGGAAGTTCAACTGGTAAGTCGATGCTATCCTACCAACGCGATATGCTCTTCTTCGGGTTTCGCTAGTTACTGACGAGCAAAAAGGATGTCAGGCCATCATGACATACGCAACTACACTGCCAGTGCCTCCCCCGGTTGACGGCTACATCATGCAAGCCCCAACTTCAGATCGCGAAACAGCTGGATTGCTCATGCCACAAGATCTCCTCTCCGCTAGCCTCAAGCACGCCGAAGCCCTCATTGCGAAAGGGGAAGAAAAGACTATCATGCCTAGCTCCTTCATCCCACCAATCATTACGTCTCCGGTAACGGCATACCGTTGGCACTCTCTAGTCTCTGTGGGAGGCGACGACGACTTCTTCTCTTCCGATCTACCAGTCTCGACTCTCCATTCCACGTTTGGTAAACTGGACAAGCCGACTTTGATTCTGATGTCGGAGAAGGACGAGATGGTCCCCCCGACCGTGGACAAGATGGCCTTGCTGAAGAGATGGATTGGTACAATTCCAGATGATTTGGCGAGTCAGCAGTGTCAGGTCGTTCCATTCGATGCTGACCATGAGCTCTCTGGTGGTGAAGCAATGCGGTACTTCATCGAGACGGTTGTCAAGTTTCTCGAGGGAATTGATGAGAAACCAGCTGAAAGGACATGAAGATAGTCAAATTGATGGATTTCGAATGCATCGAGCTTCCATCACGATCCCCTCAACATCCCTCCTCGCTAAAGCACAACACCACTCATTTCACCCCTGCTCCTCGTCATGGTCAAAATGACGTCAGCGGCCCATCTGCACTCCACCCACTCATCGCACCTTCCCGTCGCGCATGTGCATGCGCAATGTAGCGACCCCGCTATGTCATGCATCTCGTTTTCCAGGTTTCTGGTTCAATGAATACACTATTTAATCGCTAATGTCTAGTCTATGTTCTTTCTTTTGACGATACCAAGCAGTCTCGCCACCATTGTCACGCTACCAAAGCGCTCGAGATGGGTATACCGTACTCCCGCCAAATCAACGCTGCATTCGAACAAGTAACACCCCTCGTAGCGGCCGGCTTCAAAGTCCTCCGTACAACACGCGATATCTCGATCTTGCTTGCGGTCATCCAAGTTCTCACCGTTATCCTCCTGGGATTTATTCTTCTCGCGCTCGTCCTGCTTTTATACTGCGTGAATCCGGACCTGGAGGTTCGTCTTTCCTTCTAGAATATCGGAGCTGATGATTTTAGATACTAACACTATGTAGGAAGAAAGAAAAGCCATCGCCACGCCATGGCTCCGGTACTTCGCTAGTATCACAATATGGTCGATATTTAAGACCTTGTTTTCTACGCTGGTCGTGATGGGGCTTGCAGCAGCGGCGACATGGCACTTTTTCGTGGCGAAGCAGTGGGTGGAGGATGTGGAGTACGACGCGAATGTCGATGCTGATAAGGCGTTGTCGGATTTGGATGGAGAAGGAGAAGGAGATAGTGGAGGCAATGGGGGAAAGAAGGGGAAAGGTAAGGGGAAGAAGTAGGCAGAAAGTACGTTGGAAGTAGCACTAATGTGATTTGTTCAAAAACCACGTGTTGACAAGAAAACCACGCCGGACCTACTTGACTACCACAAACAACATACCCACGGAAGTAATAACATACTCCCCGGTATGTATCCAAAAGCCACATCTATGTAACACAACCCTACAAAACCCTCTTCCTCGCACTAAACCCCTCACTATCAAGCAACAACAGCGCAAACAACCCTCCCATAACCGGTCTAGCCTTGAAATCAATACCAGGAGGCTGTGTCCCATCGTTCGTCTGATAGAGATCGGTAAAAGGATGGGAGTTAGGTGTCTCGTTCACCCACTTCGCGAGATCCCCGATGAACATATCTCTCGTCTCCTTGCTCGCTACCGCAGCACAGAATACCTCCCAATCAGACTTTGTGTAGTAGGGATTTCGCGTATCGAGGGGTACACCATACTTTTCCTTGATGGTAGGGTAGAAGGCAGATTGTATATCGTAGATTTCCTGGGGCACAAGGTTGAGTCCGAGGAGACGGTCGTTGTACAAGTTGTAGAGGAGGCCGTGGGTGGTTTCGTTACCATAGTTGAGAATAGAGTGAGGCGGGTTATCGGCCTTGTTGATGCCTAGGTCGATCCAGCGGGTGATGTAGTCGTGGGCAATGGCTGTGTAGTTGTCTGCGTCTGCTGTTTCACCGATGATGCGCGCCATCTAGGACATGGCTTCGAGGCCAACGATGCCTTTTAGTGCGAGGTTAGTTTGGTTGGCGAGTGCGCCCGCGAAGTCGTCGGTAGAGAGTTGATCGGCTGGAAGGAGACTTTCTTCTACAAGATATTCGGTCCATTGCTTGAGGATGGGGTAGTGTTGGGTGATGTAGTCGGTGTTGCCGGATAGCTGGACGTAGGCGAGCATCATGAACATGTGGTTTCCGCATTCTTCCAGCGGCATGTGTTCGTCCAAACCGTCTGGGTGGCCGGTAGCGTTGGGGTAGTGCGCTCCGAGATCATGAATAGCGAACTTGTTTGGATAGTGCCCGCTCTCCTGGTTCTCGAAGTGCGGGTCAAGCAACAGCTTGACTAATTCTGGGTTGGTATAGTAGAAGATCGGGGTGGCGGGGTAGATGACGTCCACAGTCTGCATGTTTCCGTTTGATGAGATTTCCTTGAGAAAGAGGTAATGTTTCTCTTGAGTCCCGACAAGCTGAGTGGCGCCGAATGCCTGACGAGCAGCCAAGCTAGTCAGTACAGCGTAATCATCTCCTGCAGCTGCTTTGGAATCCTTAGAGATCTTATCATCGAGCTCCGTGGAGAGTCGGTTGGACTCTTGGTAGTCTTTGTAGAAGAAAGAAAGGGCGGCGAGGTCGTCCTGGAAGTAACTTTTCCAAAGTGATGGCACGTTATTGAGGCCGTCGGCGCCTAGAAACTGTATAGCATCGTCTTGACATAGACCGATAGTGTACAGCTGGCTCTTCACGTCAGAACCGACGGAACCCATGTTGAGAGCGTATCCAAACACTGGCCACTCAGCGTTAATTGGTCGGAATCCAGAGTCTTCCGCGTTGTCGAGGCTTCCATCGTTGTCAAAGGCATCGCGGACTTCAGAGTCTGCGCCGGACTTATGCGTAAGACCTTCGACTGCTTCGGTAGAATAATACTGCTAATGTCAGATCATGAATCCATGCCTTTTGGTGGACTACTTACCCAGTTACCCCACTCTGCGCGGTCGTTGACCTCACTCAAAGATTGCTGACCTTGCTTCCAAATCTTGTGATACCCGATACCATCTGATGTAGTACCATAACTCCACTCAGCCACAGCAGCGACATCACCAGACGTCCATTCTATTTGCATTTTAGCTCAGTCGCACGCTTAAACAGGGAGCTAGAGATGCTCACCAGCACTGATATCGGTATAAATCTGCACGTCATGTTGAGAACCGTCTAGAGACGAGACCTCGACGTCCATGTACGAGAAGATGAGAGATTGTCGCTTGAAGTCATTAGGAGTTATTGGTGACAGAAATGTGACTTTGAGCTGAACCGTGTCGCCCGCGGTGATGGTGAAGATGCTCTTGGTCGACGTATATTCGTATGATGTCTGATTAGCAAAGTCGTTGTAGCCATCGGGCTTTCCCATCCAGACGAAGGTGTTGCCATCGACTTTGATCAAACCAGTCCATCCTAGAATTTGTCCGCTGATTGATGTTAGCATGCAGCCAATAAGTAGCGTTGAGAGGGATCTTACGTCCAAAATGATGGCCACTGGCCTGCAAGATAGCCCCCATTTCCTCCATCACTACCGGCAGGGAACCACGTGCTCAGATATGGACTCTTGACGGCCAGTGGTAGGGAGGGTGGACGAGCTGGAGTGAAGGTCGAGGTAGATTGTGCAGCAGTAGTAAGAAAGAAGGTGCACAGCACACTAAGAATGGGAAGATACATCTTCAAGAATGCAAAATATTGATACCGGGCATGCGCGCAAACTTAGAGTGAGATGGAATACGAAGGTTATATAGACACGAAATCCCGAGTCGATCTTCCGTTGGTATTACCTCGTGCTCCCAGCAGCTAGCAATGAAAGATGCAGGCACCGGTGCGTGAAAATGGCCATTTCGTTTGTCGAAGGGGCCGTGATGACAGCTCCACGGTCAGCACTAGCTTGGATTTAACGTTCAAGTGACGATACAAATGTCAGGAAGAGTTACCGGCGAACCTAAACAGCATGGGCGAAGCGCCGAACCTTTTTGATATTACACCACATGATGAAACTTTAGTGTCACCTTACATTGTAGGCAACAAGTCCATGAAGCTCACTGACAAGGCTTTTTATCGGTGGCCAAGACTCTTGGTTACTTTGGCATATGCGGTGATTGACCGCATCCGCAGAGGTACGCCTGACGTGCATCATAAGGTTATGCCAGGCTAGCTAGCGTCTGTGAGTACAAGGCTGATCAGTCCTCGAGACATGATGTCGGACTCGTGGTAATCAGTCGGGGAAATCAGGCGACCTTTTCTACTGCACTCTACGAGCGTCAAAACGAGGCCTTGCCTGATTTGGTAGAGCATCCACCACGCGCAATTAGAGGCGCTAAACAACGGTTTGCTTCCAGGACGGCAGGAGTGGCGACGTGAGTTGGCGCTGGCAGAATCACGATCCTCGTGATGCGACTGCTGCGGTGTTGATGAGCGACGAAGCACTGGTGTCCAGTAGTAGAGAGTACAAGTGACGTTGAACCGCGGGTTTGGAAGGAGTGGTACTTACAGTACACGAACGCACTGCTAGCGTTGTAACCGTTTGGATAGGGAAGGAGCTAAAGCACTCGCAGCGCAAAAACATGTGTGGGTGTGAGATACCCGAGAAGAGCCAGCCACGATAGCGCAACGCCGTCCGTGCTTGGAGCAAAATGTGTGGATGCGACGGAACGTGTGGGTGTCGTACTGCGGGGAAGGCGTGCGCGGATCCGGAAAGTGCCATCGACATGCTTGCAGGTTCTGTATCTGGGGTTACCACCGGTCCAACGCGGTAGCACGAAGACCACGACTGTGAGTCTTTTGGACAACGTTGCCACGTTGTGTACGTTAGCTGTCAAGTACCATGTGAGCACAACGATCATGAGACAGACAAGACTTGTAAGTAGTGACAATACATTGCAGAAAGCTCATAAAAGTATGAGGTCGTATAAGCCGCTGATAGTCGCCTGCGGGCATCACAAATAATGGAGTCTGTGGTGAAAACCACGCTCATCTGGGAGCCAAGTAAAGTACAATGCATCATGAGGCCATCCATCCTTTGACCCAACCATTGATAAGAAAACGCCGGGAAGACCGGGATCATGAGTGGAATAATAGTGCAGGGTATCCAAAAGCCAACGGAAGTGACTGAATCGCAGAATGCCGGATGATAAGCGAACACCAAATATGAGCAAGAAAAAACGCAATGCAAACCGGGTATCCAAGGCCTGTCCAACACCAAACGTAACTCGTACAAGAAAAATCATCAGCTCATGACTCCGCAACCCAAGGGCGAGCCACGTGCTCGAAGCGTTGCTCGCAGTCGCGCAACAATGCGCACTCTAGGATATCATGGACGTTCCAACGCTTTTCAACGTCAGCCTCAAGGCAACCCCTGACCAATGCGAGGGCGTCGTCGATGTTGCCTGCTTGGGCCGACTCTGCGTTACGTATGAGGTCCGCGTCCCATTCGCAGTTCTTGATCTTCTCAATCGTCTTGATGTCGAGGCCGTCGTTGAAAGGTAGAGTCGCGGTGAGTAAAGCGAAAACAACTACACCAAACGCCCAGATGTCCGCCGCAGGTGAGAATACAGGTCCAGGTGTATTGAACAACTCAGGAGCCGCATACTGTAGGCTACCAGCGATAGAAGTACTAGTCTCCGCGGGGCCTATGTTCTGGTTGTCACCGATCGAGTGTGGCTCGGGACCATCGCGCTGGTCGCTGACAATGAAGTCTGCCATGCCGAAATCGCAAAGGAGAAGATCGCCGCCGTCTTTTTCAGCGTCGTTTACAGTCATGTCGAGAAGACAGTTCTCGAGCTTGATGTCGCGATGTACAACCTGGACGTCGTTGTGCAGGTAGCGCATGGCTGATGCCAGCTGATAGGCATAGCGCTTCACCAAGTGAGCTGGTAGTCCGCTCTTCTTCTGGCGGCGTGTGTCGCGGATCAGGTCGAAGAGAGTCCCGCCCTTATTCAGCCTGGTGATGCAGAAAGTGGCATAGTCGGTGGTGTATACCCTGAGGAGTGGAAGAATGTATGGGTGCCGTAGGAAGCGCCAGATCTCCACCTCGTGGTCGAACTGTGTCTGGATCTGTTCGTTCTCAATCTCAGACTTGTCCTGTTGCAGCCTGCGCACAATCTTGACAGCATCGATGACAGGTTTTCCGTTCTCCATGCTTGTAACCTCCTTCACGACGCTGAAGCCACCGTAGCCAATCTGTTTTCCAATAATGTACTCGCTGTCATAGCCAATGCCTTGGCCTTCGTCGTCTGGCTCGGGCGCCTTGATTGGGGCCTCGGACGCCTTGTAACGCGCCAGGAAGGAGGCAGCCGGCGACATGGACGACAGAGAACGGCCGGAACGGGCAGACGATCGACGGCTAGTCCTCTTCACACTGCCGTCTTCGCCAATCTCCGATCTCCAGCTCTTGGTCCGAGGTGGGCCGCCGCGGCGCGGAGAGGGCGAGAAGAGGGGAAACTCCATGGGGGAGGTGGCAGGCATTGGTGAGAGCATGTACTCGGACGGCGCCTCGAGAGGTGTTTGCGCCTCGTCTAGCGGCGGCGAAGCGGTAGTATCAGACGTCAAGGATGCGACTTGGTCGCGGTACTCGGAGTCGTTTGCCAGGTCATCTACGGTGGACTGGACAAGTGGGTATCGGGACTCTCCAACGCGGTACTGCATGTTGCGGCGCATGGTGTAGGGCATCTCCATGTAATCTGGTTGCGAACCATCCGAGTAGCTTCCATTTTCGGGTGTGCGTGAATGCGACTGCCGTGAAGACTTGGGCACGGGCACGCCCAGGCCAACGCCCTCTCCCGTGTCGAGCCGGACTTCATTGTTGAAGCTGATGCTCGTCTTTCGCTGCCTGAATTTGGCTACAAAATCCTCGTCACTTCCGCTGCTGCCTACAGCCAGGGAGCCCTCATCGTCGGACTCGGCGCGCAAGTCGGCGCCATGGTGGTCACGCGTAGGGAAAGAGGCGCGCGAGATATTCTGCGGTTCTGCAGCAGCGAATTCAGCGGTTAGCTGGGACTGGCCATAGTGGTTGTGCGGGGACTGTTTACGGGCTAGAGGCGCGAAAGATGCAAAGGTGGAAGCGACGGGTTTGTGGGGAGTCGAGGTGTCGAGTTTGAGCTTCTGGAAAGTGTGTGAGGGTTCTGAAATTGGGGCCATTAAACCGGTTCACAGTGAGAGCAAACCTCTTCTTACACCGGCGAGGGGGTGTATTAATATGTGCGGCGATCGTGGGGTGAGTCGCGCGGCGAAGGGCGAAACCGGGAAGTAAAGTAATAAGATTATGTTCGGGCTTGGTGACAGCGGAGTGCTAGCGGAACGAGGAAATTGCACGCGCGCCGAGCCACGGTATGCCTGGGGAAATTGCTCGGGGTGGCAATTGATTGATGGATCTGGGGTGTAGTTGATTGAGGAGAAGGGCAGAAGTGGGAAAGGAGGACATAGTTCTTTGTCCAGAATATTGCTTCTGGTCCTCCGCTCGGAGCCTCCCCCACGCATGTTGTTAATAGGCGGTCGTCAGCGGAGGCGCGGGCGCAGAGGCACGTGAGCGGCCGTGAACCAGCCATGCAGTTATGCGCGCCTATGGGACGCGTTCGCAGGGTAATCTACTGCTTTTGCGCATAGCGAGTGGGTGCTCGGTGAAGATTCTGGGCAGTCTAGCGTAGTAGGTGTGCTGGATGATCCATGGGATAGCAGATAGCCAAGCAGCCGTCGCCGCATCGCGACGGGTAGAGGGCGAGGAGCGGCTACCCCGCACAGAGGCTCTGCAGCGAGCTGCGCAGCACCATGGCTTCATTCATGAGGTTTGGCAGGCGGTGATAACAGTGACAGAGGACGTGGGGCGCGTCCGACAGATGGCCTGCATGGCGGGCCGCTAGACCGTACATGACGCCGGGCGTTGCAAAGGCGAATAAGGCAGCATGAGGGCCATAATTGTGACCTGGCCGGCGCATTGTTGGTTGTACACGTCAAACGGCCGAAACATGACGTTGCGGCCGCCGTGAAGCTCGACGCGGTTGGCTCGTCACGGCGAACAGCGAGAGGCATTGCCCGGGGTCCCTGTCTGCATCGCTGGACCCTTCAAGCCGCGCCGACTTGACCGAGTTGACGATAGCGGAGGCAGGGAAGCTTGAAATGCACATATACATCATCTTATAGGGTTGCTGGGATCGTTGCGATAGGGCCTTGGAAGAGCGCGAACGCCCGCGCAGCTGCTCGAGTGTCGCATAGCAGCCAGAATACACACTGCACGCACGCATCCACGCGGCTCTCTGCTGTCAAATCGAAGTCGTCTTCACGTGAAGCTGGCTAGCTCGACGCTTGTTGACTGACTGCATGCACGGGCGACGCTGCCGCCCGCCTAGCACACCTCCAAGTTCCATCTGCCAAGCTCGATTCAACACCCTGGGGCGGGTGACAACATCACCAAGCTCATCAACCCATCGCACCGGCCCAACCTGTCTC